TAAAACGCGTGCTAGGCTACCGGAGTGGCGGGGGACCACTTGCCCGGCAGGGGCCGCCAAAAAAAAAAAAAAAAAAAAAAAAAAAAAAAAAATTTTTTTTTTTTTTTTTTTTTTTTTTTTTTTTTTTTTTTTTTTTTTACTGGCACGGCCGGGCAAGTGGTCCCAAGCCACTCTGGTAATATAGATTGGAATAAAATGCGTGTCGGATACGTGAGTTGGTGCTAAAGTGCTGACAATAATGAAGCTGTGTTCACTGCCCATCCGTACCTGAGAAAGAAATCGCGGAAGCACTACTCTTAATAGCTGATTGAGAACAGAATTCCCTGTAGACTCAATCGCATCTCTCGGAATCACACGGAAAGGTCCAGGTATCTCCAAAGTCACCTGCAAAGAAGAAGATCGCCGGTGACAAGAAAACAATGAAACAAAAAAATTAGAGGAAAGAACTGACACAACATTGTCAAAACAGAATCGCGATAAGTCCAAAAACATTAAGCAATGAGAGAGAGAGGAGGGGGGGGGGGGGAAGGAAGAACGCTCATCTAAAATTCCAAATCGATAGTGAGATGCAGCGTGTTAGTGTGGCGCTAAGTTCAGCTAACACCCCTTGATTGCAAATTTTTGTTTTTCTGTCGTTTCTCTGTTCTCCCCATTCCTTCTCTCCCCTCCTCCCCGCCCCTCTTCTCCCCCTCCTTTTTCATCTTATTAAACCACCACTACTTTTCACAGGCGAACTTTTGCGCCGAAAGAATTTGTCCACCACCACATTCTTTTGGGGGTTCGGCCTCGGGGACCAAAGGAAAAAAATTGAGCGCCACACCGGTTCATTCTGAATTTGGCGGCAGTACAAATCTGCCACGGAAAAAAGAGCCTAGAAGTCAGTGGTGGTGCGAAGTTCACACCATCCAGCGGCCTAGCTCAGTTGGTAAAGGCACGCAAGTGGCATTCAGGAGGTCTTGGGTTCAATCCCCACTGGCGTCATGTACCTTCCTGGGCATGCTTGGCGCCCGCCACCTAGAGATATGCAGTGGGTCCCCCCGAGTGGCATTGAGCAGAGACTGCTGATGTTCAAAGGGGGAGGGGACCGGAGGGGGGGCACAGCGACTGGCCCATTGAAGAAGCTCGGTCCTGATGCTACCGTCAGACTGACCCCTGCCTGGTATCGCCCACCTGCTGTAGCAGGTATCGCACCTGCTGGTGGGTGCAGCTCCCGTATGTTCCCTCGTTGGAGGCTTGAGCACGGATGTGGCTGCTACGGGGTTCCCCGTAATACTACAATGACAATAAAAAAGGCCTGAAAGGCCGTCCTGTCCAGATTCGACAGGTAATTGAATTGGTTGGACTTAAAAGAATCATCCTTATAAATAAATAAAAAAAGTTCACACCTCAATTGTTGTGTCCGAGGCCAACTCCTTGCTGTTCTCTGACTGTGAGCTCGTAGACCATGAAACCTTGTTTGTCATCGACGCTGCAAAGCAAAGCAAAGCAACAAGAAAGCAGAAACAGAATGCAAAGCACAAGTCAATCAATACATTGTCGGATCATGTGGACCCCCAAACTCGAACACATCAATGTGTGCTATGTAGCCATGTCATAACACCAACAACCTTCGACGCCCGTCATCGTCTGCCTATCGAGAAGGAATAAATACTAGGGAAACCTTCTCAATGCCGCTCTGTGATGACCCACCTGAGATTCGGCTGGCATGTGGTTCACATGCCTTGTGCCATGAGGATTATGAAGGGATAGCCCATGTGAGTTTTTGCTTTCATACGTATGATGATGACAGTCAGTACTGCACTCACGTACGGCATCCTGACATGTTGTGTCCAATCCGTCGACGGGCTGGAACGGCGATGCCTCTACAATTGTGAATTTGTGATGGGTGTGCCTCCGTCTTCCTAGCATGTAGGAGCCACGTGGCCTGTGACATCTGTCTACGCCGTGTCATTCGATGCAGCAACTGCGCCTGCGCGAATTGGCTGCGGTACTTCCACAGGCCACACTTCACGGGTCGGGAAAGGTATTTATCAATTCCCCCGTTTGCTGCTGGACCCTGCGCCGCGAAGTTGTGTGGTAGTGGATGGCGCCGCGACGCAATATGTTGACACGACTTGCGGAGGATTTGCGGTGTAAGGAGAACCGGTCCTGTCCGGTCTGCAGGGGTGGCCACTTTACCATAGGCAAGGGCGGCTCCTCAACTCAAAATTTTCTGCAACCCAAACACTGACTGGCCTCATGTGCCATCTTAGGGTAGTCGGCTGACTCTGCTCCAATGGTGAATTTTTATTTAGAACCCTGCGAGAACTACACATCTTATTTTTTTCCTCCCTCGTCTTCTCTACTAGCAGTAAATGCATACGGATGAGCATCATTAAGAGAATGGACAAAATATAAGGTGAGGATCCGACGATAAATGAACAGGAATATACCTCCGCCTTTCTCTGTTTCCTTTCATAATGTGCAAGTGGACCGTTATGGCACACGGGGACGTGGGCAGCTCAAGCTCAACCACAATCAACGCGGCGTGCCTTGTACATGAGATGGACAGTAAAAGGGGAGTTGCAAGGGCAAATGGAATGGGTACCCTAAAAAGCCAAAGTGAACACAGTTAAGAAAGGGATTTAGATTTTAAACGCTTCTGTTTTGTTCCGTGTTGCTTGCTATGAAGGTAAACCTGTTCCATTGTTGGTTTGTCTCAACTCGCGTGTTTTCATTTTCTGCAATAGAACTAAACCTGCTTCGATTCTGGATCCACTCATTTGGGT